CCGAAACGTCAGCTTTCCTGCTCCTCTGATGCTGCTTGGTCTGCTGTGTTCATCCAGCTCTACACCTTGTTATCTCAGACTTTCCAACTACTTTTGGCCATCTGAAGTCATTATTAATCATTGGAAAAGTTACCAATTTACCTACAAGAGCACTGGAAATCATAAACCTATACCCTTCTGAACAGCTTTATGATTGCATTTATAATTCGCATTTTCTCCCAGTGTTCATTTTGGGATACCTCTGCTTCCTCTCTGCCATTTAGATATGGTTTGTAACTCCGGACAAGAGGTAGACTGTATTCAGCTGGAAAACAAATTCAAAAAGGACAAGGTGTTTGGGACAGATTGATGTGGGCGCACGCTATGGGCCAAATGGCCTGTTTCTGCACCATGACATTTCTATGATTTTTCGATATGCCATGATAAATGGCTAGTGCAGGCACAGAGGGCCATATGGCCTCTTTCTGTGCCATAACATTTCTATGGCATCAAGTGGTCAGTTTTTAGCACTTGCTAAAAGCCACAAGTTCACCTGCAATAGCGTTGTTGCTGTTCCGAAAAGTGCCCAGTATGACGAAAACACCATTTCCTCAACATCCGGTGTGATTTCAACTTTACATGGATTGTTACATTTGGATAGCTGTGTAGAGGCACACAACTGCAAGAAAAGGTAGAAGTTAGATATGTTATGGAACCTTTCGTTTCTTCAAGATGCCTCAGAGCTTTTTGCCATCAATAAAGAAATTTAGAAATGCAGTATGGTTGTTTCCCAGACAAACATGGGAGCTAGTTTGCAGACAACATGAACCCACAGTCAGTGAAATGAAATGAACGACTGGCGAGTTGGTTTCAAGTGGTGTTGCTTGAGGGAGGAATGTTAGCCAAGACCCCAAAGAGTTACCCTTCTGTGAGTAGCACTGTGGGATATTTCATGCCTTTCTGAACAGTCGAATAGGACCTTTGTTTGCCTGCAAAAAAGCAACAATCTTTGATGATGTGCTGTTACCTTGACATTTCAGCTGAGATGTTGTGCTGAAATCCTGGAGTGGGGCTTGAACCATCAACCTTCAGACACAGGGGTGTGTGAGTTAGCCAGATAGATAAGGAGGCTGCAAGGTGCTGACTTCTACTGAGGACTGCAGCTGATTCTGCAGAGCTATGAGTTAATCACTTTTTTTTTATTCATTCATGGAATGTGGGCATCGCTGGCTAGGCAGCATTTATTGCCCATCCCTAATTGCCCAGAGGGTGGATAAGAGTCAACTGCATTGCTGTGGGTCTGGAGTCACATGTAGGCCAGACCAGGTAAGGATGGCAGTTTCCTTCCCTAAAGGACATTAGTGAACCAGGTGGGTTTTTCCACCAATTGGCAATGGATTCATGGTCATCATTAGATTCTTAATTCCAGATATTTTATTGAATTCAAATCCCACCATATGCCATGGCGGGATTCAAACCTGGAACCCCAGAACATTACCTGGTCTCTGAATTAACAGTCTAGCGATTAGCAGGGCCATAGTTCCCGATTCCGCTTACTGACCCTAACATGGGGAGTTCCGCCTAGCAACCGGACTGTGAAGAAATAGATTCCCTTCAGATTTACCAAGGCTTGCTAAAGGCACAATTATAACAAGCCAGAGCTACTGTGGAGTCTGTGTTGTCTGACTTTTTATCTTTTATGTAATTAGAGATGGGCAATAAATGCTGGTCTAACCAGTGACACCAACTTGTCTTGTCACTCATGGGATATGGTCATCGGCCAGCAGTTATTGCCTGTCCCTAATTACCCAGAAGGTAGTTAAGAGTCAATCACCTTATAGGTCAAGAGTAGGTTAGACTAGATATTGACAGCAGATTTCCTCCCCTAAAGGGCATTGGTGAACCAGATGGGGTTTTACAGCAGTTGACAGTGATCATCATGAGACTTTTAATTCCAGACCCTTAATGAATATATATTCCACCATCTGTTGTACCAGCATTCAAACCCAGGAGCCCAGAGCATCAGAATCAAAGCAAAATACTGCAGATGACTGGAACCTGAAGCAAGCACAAAATGCTGGGGAAAATCAGCAGGTCTGGCAGCATCTACAAAGAAAGCAACACTGTCAACGTCTTGAATCCAGTATGGCTCCTCTTCAGAACACCTTCTTCTGCTGTGGACTGGAAATGTTAGCTCTGCTTCTCTGTTTGCCGATGCTGCCAGACCCACTGAGTTTCTCCAGAACTCTGTCTTTGTCCCCAGAGCATTAACCGAGCCTTTGGTTTGCTAGTTCCATTGGCTATCACTTCCCCTAAGCAGCAACATATCCAACTGCCTTGAAGACCTTATTCTATGAGAGGTGAAGGTTTTCAGTGCAGTCTTTGTGGGGCTACCAGTTTTTAATTCTGTTGATGATTGATTGAAAGGGATATGCCTCCTTTGTGCTGTCCACAGATCATGCCTGGAACAGCATCAAATTCTCAGCATTTCTCGCAAGCTAAATGCCACAAAATTTGATTTGCAGCCTTTAGTTTGAGTTGCGGGTTTATTTTCCTTCATAACTCGTGCTACAGTCGGCACTGACGTGTGAGGTACGATTCCACGCTGTATCAAAACTGGAAAATGTGATGCTGTTCTTTCTCAGGACCTTGCTGCTAGGCAACAGTTTTTTTGTTCTCAATTCGTAAAAGACTGCAAAGTCCTTTAGCACAGGATGAACTCACTTAAACCTTCTTGTTCAATCATTTCCAAATCAGCTTATGTATTAGGCATGTTGATTGAAATTGCCCTCTTGGGTAACGTTTGGAGGTGACGTCACCTTGAGATCATTTTAATTATTTATTGTTTCTTTTTCTCCCTTCTCTCCCTGTTCGTTGCCTCTGTTCCGTCCTGTGCATCTAGAATACACTGTAAGTACATTCCTGTTTCATATTGTCTACATACATGAATAAGTAATGTCGCGTGTAATGCCAAAATGGGTATGTTGGATGCTAAAACAGCCCGTAAACGGGAGCTGTACCACACAGATACATTGCCCTGTTTATGGATGGCACCAGTGTTTACTTGCAGCCATCACTCTCCTAAATAAGTTAGCTAAGTTTGAACACATTTCTCACTTGTGTAATTTAGCATGTGATAGCTGTTCATGTTAAATATGTCAGTGTGTCCCATACCTGTCTTTAGAACAGTAACTGATTTAGGAGTTTTTGGAGTGATGTACAGTATGATGAGGGATTTTGGGAGGGTAAATCAGGAGAAATTATTTTTACCAGAATCAGGGTTGGTAACCATGTGATAGTAAGAACTGCAGATGCTGGAGTCAGAGATAACACAGTGTGGAGCTGGAGGAATACAGCAGGCCAGGCTGCATCAGAGGAGCAGGAAAGTTGATGTTTCCCAACCCAAAGCGTCAACTTTCCTGCTCCTCTGATGCTGCCTGGCCTGCTGTATTCCTCCAGCTCCACATTGTGTGACCGTGTGATGTCGGTTTTAACATAAAGAACCAGAGATGAGGTGAAGGGACAAACCTTTCACGTGGTGAGCTCTGAGCGTAGCGCTTGAGAAGACGGTGGAAGCAGTTTCAATACTAAGTGTCAAAAGGAAGTGGGATAAATACTTGAGAAGCGCTTTGTGGGTAAGAGCAGAAAGTAGATCTAATTGGAAAGCTTCAAAGAGCAATTCATTTAGCTCACATGTGCTGGACTAAATGACCTTAGGAGCTGTATATTTCTGTGATATCACTGTCTGATTATAATAGCTCCCCTGTTGTTAGTTTGTTGTTGTGCTGTTCATGCAGTCAGCATCAAACCAATTGTATGATCGGTTTTCACACCCAGAAACTCAAACCTAGCGTAGCTACTGACAACTGACTCCAGCGCAGAAAGAAGTCAGGGGAGTACAACAGTTCACTTAGCATTTCCCGAGACTTTACCTACTCACCAGTGCTTCAGATCCAGTTGACCTACTCCCCTCTCCCTCTCCCATTCCCTCCTCCTGTGTCTAAAACTATCCCTCACCTCCACCACCCCTTGTGAGTTCCGCTCCAAGACACACACCATCCTGACTCAGGACTGTGCCACTGTTCCTTCTCTTGCTGGGTCAAAATCCTGGAACCTCCTCCCTAACAGCATTGTGGGTGTAACTATGTCACATGAACTGCAGCATTTTACAGAACTAGCTCAGCTTCTTGGGGACATTTCAAGTTGGACAATATATGTTAGTTTTGACAGTGATGCCCATATCCTGCAAATGAGTTTTTTAAAAACAAATCCTGATTGCTCAATAGTGCAAGGAGTTGGGATGTCATGTTGAGGTTGTTATGGATGTTGACGAGGCCTCTTCTGGAATACTGTATGCATTTCTGGTCACCCTGTTACAGGAAGGATATTATTAAACTGTAGAGGGTTCAGAAAAGATTTGAAGTTTTGGAAAAAATGGATGGTTTGAGATATAGAAATAGACTGAAAGGCTGGGACTATTTTCACTGGAGCATAAGAGGTTGAGGAGTGACCTTAATAAGGTTTATAAAGTCACGAGGGGCATAGATAAGGTGTATGACAAGGGTCTTTTCCTTCGGATGGAGGCGTTCAAAACTGAGGGGCATATATTAAGGTGAGAGGAAGAAGATTTGGAAAGGACATGAGAGGCTACTTATTTACACAGAGTAATTCATGTGTGGAATGAGTTTCCGGAGAAAATAGTTGATCCAATGAAAGTAGTCGTTACAACGTTTAAGTGACATTTAGATAAAGTACATGAATAGGAAATGTTTGGAGAGATACAGGACAGGAGCAGGCAGTTGGGACTAATTTAGTTTGGATTATGGTTGGCATGGACTGGTTGGACCAAAGGGTCTGTTTCCGTGCTGTATGACCCTATGACTTTATAACTGGCTAAAACTCCCTGGTACTATGAACGGAAGCAACAAGAGATTCCATTGTCCTCTTGCTGAAGACACAAATAAATCTTCAACAGTTAATACCACATTGGTTAAGACACAAGCTAAAAAACACCCAACTTCTATAATTAGATCAACATATTTCTCTCAATTAATACAGTTATAGAGACTTACAGGAAGGGTGTATGTTGAAGCAATAAATAATTCACATTGAACGTGCATCAGGGAAATGATTTAAGCAGAAAAATGTTTTTTTAAAATAGACTCCTGAGCTTCTTATCAGTTCTTAACATAGCTTTTAGAACTTCCTGATGAAGTGTTACAGTTGGATTTTCAGAAAATTTATACTGTACTAAGATTTCTAACAGAAACTTGGCCTGAAAAGACCTGGATTACAGTAAGTCCTCAATTTAAATCACCCCACTTAGCTTGTTTCATGTTAAAGCTGTTATACTAAGACCTTTTTCCTCAAATTACATTGACATTAGTTTGCCACAAATCTATTCCACTTGCTTTGGACCGAAGTTGGTGGGCACTGTGCAAAGGTCGTGCGGCTTTAATTATATTACCTCCAGGTAAGGTGGGTCTTGACATTCGAACTTCTGACCCAGAGTCTGGGACACTGCCACAAGACCTCCCATCCTTCTACGACTCTTCCCCCACCCCCCACCAACTTTCCCTGCCTTTCCCTGCCTTGCTTCCACCTCCCTGGTTTTGCTTTCCTCAGGCGTTGCCTCCCTCTGAATTTGCCTCCAACATTTCCCCTCAACCAGCCTTGCCTCCCTCTGCCCTTGTCTCGCCCATGCTTCTGCTCTCTGTTCTTTCTTTAGGCTTCTCCCTTCAGCATTGAAGCCCCTCCCTTCACCTGGCTGCCATTCTGAACTCATGCAGGAGTGCCTCATCTAGTGACAGAAGTTGGTTGATGTAGTCTGATGTACTCTGACTAATTCTGCGACTCGATGGAGCCTGGTCAATCTAAAAGCGCAGATGCTTACATATTTTAAAATACTTTTTAAAACATTGTGTGTGGGAAATACCGTACCGTATTACTACTGCATATTTTATGTTGCAAGCTATTTTCATGCGGATTGCAGAGTGCTGGACATGTATAGTACAGTTATTTTCTTTCAGGCAAAAAAAAACTGTCTGAAGGAACCTATCTCTAACCTTATCATTATTTCCAATTAGAACCTATGAATCACTTAAAGTCTTTTCAGTTCAAGTCACAATTTTCAGGAACTCAGCCATAACTTTAAGTGAGGACTTGCCATAATTGAAAACAACTTATTATTCAAATGTGCAAGACACCTGCCCTGGTCAACATGACCAATTTTGAAATAAAATCCCTCAAGGGTGCATTAGGGCCCATTTTTACATGTTCAATAGATCTAGTGCCTGTTCTAAGCAATATAAATGGGTGAGGGGTCTTATGGTAGTGTTCTAGACTCAGGATCAGGAGTTTGAGGTTCAAGACCCACCTTCCCTGGAGGTAATATAATTAAGACAACATGACACAGTGCTCAGCAACTTGGGTTAAATGCAAATGGAATGGATTTGTGTTGTTTTTGTTATTGAAAACTAAAAGATACCAAGCAGGTTTGACAGGTTGGCAGCTGAGAGGATGTTTTCCCGTGTGGGAGAGTAGAGAACTAGAGAGCACAGTTTCAAAATAAAGGGCCTACCATTTAAGATGAAGGTATGGATACATTTCTTCTCCAAGAGGGTCATTGGTATCTGGAATCCTCTCCCTCAATGAGCAGTAGAGCCTGCAACATGAAATAAAGTCAAGTTTTAGTCAGATAGGCTCTTGATTGAGTGAGTCAAGATTTACAGGGAGAGGTGGGTTAATGCCACAATCGGATCAGCCATGATTTTATTGAACGGCGAGCAGGCTCAAGGGGCCGAATGGCCTGCTCCTGTGTTCCCACAAAATGCAAAGTATTAGGTGGTTAACCGCAGGTTAGATCAAACTCTTGTGCCTTGGTGATCATTTTGGTTAGTTTCATCGGTAAGTGGCTGTGACCATTTTGCTATAATATGATCATAGACTGCTTACCATAAAATGCTAATGTCATGGGTCTGGTAACCGATTCCACTGTTTTACCAGGTGCTGCGGCCAGTTTAGTGAGTTAGGTCCATCATCTTCTTTAAAACTGGATACCACATTATTTGCAGCATTCAATCTCTCCTGTACTGACTGCGGAAACTTCAAAGTCATACCTCTTTAAATCCTCAAGTTGAATCCATCACTAACGAGCAGTTTTTTAACTGTGAATCCTTATTTTCTGCTGTTTGGGTTAAATGTGTCTCATTTAAGTCACTTGTTAATCGTATGTTTGCATTATGACCAGCTACAGAAAGCATGTTCTCTGTGTTTATCCAATGAAGGCCTGAAGAGTGTTGACCAGTTATTGTTCTATACTTTAAACTTATCATCTGTTTCGATACATTAGAGGTATAAACTGCCTCATTTTGAAGAGAAATAGTAGGAACTGCTGATGCTTCTCGACCCGAAACGTCAGCTTTCCTGCCCCTCTGATGCGGCTTGGCCTGCTGTGTTCATCCAGCTCTACACCTTATTATCTCATTTTGAAGAGATCAAGCTTTGACAGTGAGTCTAAGTAAATCTGAAGAACCGAAATCCCAAAGGATGCTATTACTAAAATCTGATACCAATTGAAATGCCACACAATAAAAAACCCCATCCTGCTCATGGCGTTTTAGGTGGTTTTCAATTAAACCAGGGATTTTCCAACACAAGATTCTGTTAGAAACCTTATGTCAATTGTCACAAAAAGCTGTAGTCATTAAAAAAATATAATATTGAATACTTGTTAGAAAGTACATCTTTAAGTGCTTAAACCTTTATTCCCCAGTTGCATTTTTCAATGTTCAATATTTATTGTTGTAATCTCCTTCTTCACAGATAATAAGTCTCTATCACTGTATTAATTGGGAGCTGGATGTTAACCTATTTAAGGAGACTGGCTACTTTCTAATTTGTGAAACTGA